GCTCTTTTAGTTTGGAATAAAACATCAAACTGAGAGATTAGTTAGGTGTGTGTCTATTTGCTCTTACATCCCCCTTAGAAAAGATTACGCACTCACTTTTACGGCCTGATTTCATCATGTGCGTGGGAGCTGCGGTCGTCAGGACGATCTCGATAAGCGCCCTCGAGCTTTATTATGTTTGTAACATATTGTGATACAAGTGGCCCGACATTCAATCTCCATATCGTACCTTACAAGTTCTTCTGTTAGTCCCTTATAATTGCCATTGTCGATGAAGTATCGAATATACAAAGGATCTGTTTTTTTATATTCACTTTTTGATAGAAAGGTTACTGATGATCTAGTTGATAAAGTCGTTTTGTTTGTAGGTATGGGTTTTATTTTTTTCTAGAATACCATCCTGATTTTATTTCTTAACACCTGTTTAAGATTTATACCTATCTATTGCTTTTGTGCGGTTTCAGTAGCCTTCAGATTTAAATTCGATCTTATCAAGATTTAAATATTTACATTTTAACACACGAATTGTGGTAAAATATAACAAGAGCAACAATGATACGGTCTTAGTGTTATTCAGAAATAATACATACTTAAGAATCACTGTAAAGATCGTTGCTGCTTATGTCATATTAATTTTTGCGCCATATCTTTTATATACCGCGTGTCTACTTAAGTAATTAACGAGGTAATTAAGTAGTCAACATTGGGAAACTAATTTTCATTATTAATTTTATGAAAAAAATATGAAATAACAATCATAATTAAGTAATAAATCTGAAAGTGGTTCGATTTTAGATTGATATGTACTCGTACATCTATGATTTCCCGTGACTCCAGTAGCTAATTTCTTCAAATAAGGAAGAAAGAATTGCTTATGAAGCTTTATTTCATTTAGAATTTGTGTAAATATAGAGATTCGTGCGCTTCTGCGAAAAAATACTATATTATGTACTATTTTGTCAAGTTATGATTATATACGAGGTCCCTGAAGTTGCTCCTGGAAGTTGAACCAATTGTGACAATTTACAATGTACCTGTTAGTTTTAAGTTAGTTTTGGTTAATTTTGGCGTTAGTTTCTATTTGGTACTTACTAATTGTTCGGGAATACTTCACACTTCACTGCCATTTACTCGAATTGTTGGTTTAAACACCATTTTTGATTGATTGGTATGCAAGTTTTCATAAAATGGTCGTTTGTTTTCCATTCATTGGTAGGAAACTGAAATTTTTCCGGAAAAACTCACACTTCGCTAATATTTTTGTATAAATTTTCGATAATGGTGTGGGGTATCCACGAACAAGCGTTTGAGATTATTATTCTTTTTTATAGCCGTAGAAATTGGTGGTCGTATTTCTACGTTTAGTCAAAGGTTTATCGACAAGTTAGGTTTACTGTTGCGAGATAAACGCAGATTCGACCATTTGAAGAAAAGATTAGTTATAGACTATGCATTTGAACCCATTACGTATGTATTGGGTTTAGCAAATCTAGGTAGGGAATTTTATTAGTTACGCGTTTTCGGATTTCTTATTAATGCCTAACAAAAACACCCTGTATAAATAAAACATGGCCACTTTCTGTTTATTCAAGTTGCTTTGCTCGTTTTTGTGTAAATAATGGTTTTCTCTATAAATGGTAAATGGGAATCAGTTTTCTGGTGTGGTAAGTATTTACTTTACGCATAAGCCAGGACATAAACCTGTGGGCATGAAAAAGGGGTGAGCTGTTAGTTACAAATTACAATGACTAGTTTGGTACGACATTTTTAGATTTTTGATCGTTTGTTCTACGTTTCGGTGGTGATCTTTGGTTTCAGGAAAGCAATTGTGCTCTTTCTTGCCCAGTGAAGTAAAACCTGGTGCAGAGTAAGAAAACATCTTCCAGTGCTGAGGAGATTTCCAGTTTTTGGTGGGATAATTTGGTATTCATGTTTATAAATTAGATAGAAAATGTTTTCTACATGAATTTACAAGTAAAGTGTTGAAATAATGTACTTACATCTGTAGCAATGATGCGCGCCTCTGTCTAGGCAACATATTATACACACTCAATCCATTTTCGGTTACCACAGAGATCCGAGTTCCTCGCAACAACATTTTGTATTCCACCTGCGGTAAATTCGTCCCTAGAACGTTCGCCCTAAGAAAATTTCGTCACCATATCATCTTACACTTTTGAAAAGCAACGTCAAATTAACTCAAAGTCAAAAATAGAGGCGAAAATTAATATTCTTATTGTCGCATAGTTCAACTTCCCGATATGAATCTTTCGAAGGTGAATCTTCCGGGTGCGAATTCAATGGTGACGGATATTCTGGAGGTGCAATATTTCACAGGCAAATTTGTCGGGTGCCAATTTACCTGTGGACGTGTCCCTTTGATGGAGAATATTTCAGGGGCGGAGTTACCAGGACTGATTTTCCGGAGCGAATCTTCCTACAATCGCAAGTGTTATTATTGCACATAAAACCCAAGAAACAACAAACATAAAGTAACTGATCCCTTGTACATGTACAGGTAGAGAGGCCTTTATGGGAAAATGGTGTATACCCAATCTAAGTAGCATTTATATGTAGCCAGCTTAGATTGAACTTAACAGTACAGACTTTTTTGTCTCTGTATACTGGTAATGAACCCAGTCATTTCCATAGCAGTTATTTGTTATATTACAAATTCGAATTATTGGGAATGTTTTTGGTAACAATACAAGAATAAAAATATAATATTATTAAAGACGAATTAAAGATCACTCCGTTAGGGTCGAAATTTCTTGGTGTTTCTGTGGGAACGAATTCTAATGGGCAAAATTTTCGGTGTGATTTCCGTGGTGAATTCTACAAATGCGAATCCTCTAAGGAGAATTTTGAGGGGCGAGTCCTTCGGGGGCGAATATTCCGGAGGCAAATCTTCCGTAGGCGAATTTACTTGGGACAAGTTTGTATGGGGGCGAATTTACCGCGATGAATTTTCGGAGGTTCCTATGTGGTGTACTTACTATCACGGATTAAAAATGCATGTTACTGTTTTTAGTTTAGTGAGCAGTTAAACTCTATAATGAACCGTGCCATTATTTATTTATTTTTGCCTGTATTTTTAAGTGGGCGGGGTTTCAGCCAACGCTGCTCTACCAACCCAACCCACTATACATTTACAAATATCTATTCCCGAACTCGGATTCGAACAAGGGAAACGACATTTTTTTGTGAATTAGCGTACTGCTGTCGTGGTATATTTCCAAGTTTAATGCGTGCTTACAGAAATATGGAATGAACGTATATCGCTTTCATAAAGATATAAGAAAGTTGAATGAAGATTTGGGTTGGGTAGGCTGTTGAAGGATCTCCATTGGAGATATGTTGCGGGGTGGTCCAGTTGTTTTGCTTACTTATGTAACACTTTTGTACAAATGTTGCTCTGGGGTTTAAACTATTTGGAACTTTTATTTATCCACAAACGAAGACATTTTATTTGCTCTGACTATTATTAAATTTACGAATTACTCATTATTCTTGAGAATAATAATTAATCGATTAATATTTGATCAATTATATTGTATAATTTTGATAACTTGCTTTTTACATTCAAATTGATTTTGTAATTGCTTATTCGTGCAGTGGTTGAGACAAAGTTTTTTTATTATACCTGAATCACAATCTCCGTTTTAAACACTCAAATGCGTGCGAAAAAAGGCCTTTAAAACACACGTGCTTTAAAGTTGCTAAGTAACGATACTTCAAGTATGACTTTTGAAACTGTCATCTGGGGCTGAAATAAAAAATCCTCTTAGGTCGTTTTCCGTAAATGCATAACATTTCTTTGGCTTGTACCTATCATTTGCTTGAAGGTTTCACAAACGCGCGTAATTTAGAGTATGCTTCCAAATCTGTTCCACTTTTTAATCACAGCATTGTTTGAAGTTTTAAGTTAATGCACCAAAAGATAGGAGATTTAAATACCTTTGACATTTCCTTCATATATCCCAGCATTATCGATGCATTTAAGACTTTATTCGTAAGTAACTTCTTATTCATTCATGTAAACAACTTTTCATATTCTTTATAATAGGCTTTACTGGATTTGGATTTTACACCTATCAACGTTTGTTTAGATTTTACAACAAGCGATTTAATGGACGGTGTATTATCTTTTTCAACGGAAATCGTTTTATTTACAAAGACGATGATTTTTATAAGCAAACGTCAAGTGACATTTCCATGGCAATCGTGAAATATCGAACACCCAGCCCACTTAATTAAACATGTATTCGAGTATAACGTCAATATGATTTCATTGTATTTCCTATTTTTAAATTATACTGCAGGTATAATAAAAAATACTATAAGATACACGTGTATAATTGGTCTTTAAAGCACTTGCAACGTTAAAGGCACTCCGCTTTGCGTCGTGCCCTTAAACTCGTTGCGCGTGCTTTAAAGACTTGATTATACACTTGTATCTTAATATACTATTTCTATAGTATTTTGTGGCCTACGCCCAAAACGTCTACTTTTACTGACCTACCGAGTCCTGCATCTTATATTTTAGCCAGCACCATTTTGCATATAACAACATATCAACTTTGGTTTTTAGGGGGACATATTTCTATACGAAAATAAGTCCCCTGAGTCAACATCCTACACTTGTTTAATTTTCCATTCTGTCAGTATTTTCAAATTTTCAATTACTGTGCTATGGAGTGGAAACAACATCTGTGCTAGAAGCTTGATCTTCCACCAATTCTTTTAAAGTTAATTTTTCTGTGCACTTTCATCTGATTTTAGTTGTATTATAGTGGTGCTTGAGTTGAGTGTTTGTTTCAAAATGGGAGGTTCAGATAGCAGATTGCAGACTTCGGTATCAGTTTACCACCACATAGTAGGTGTAATGTCTGATTATTATAACCCATTTTCAGAAAAATTGTTTTGTGGCACAAAAGTCAAATTTTGATACCGGTGTTTAATAAATATTTACATTATATACAAACTATGAGAACTTTAACTTAATAGTAACCGTGGCCAAGTTTGGCAATGGGGGCACCATAAGATAAAGCAGGGGCGGCATATGCAACTGGAGCTGCAACCTTAGCGTAGGCTGGAGCGGCATACGCAACTGGAGCTGCGTACTTGGCAATTGCTGGAGCGGCGTAACTGATAGCTGGTGCCGCAATTTTAGCTACAGCTGGAGCAACTGCAACTGCGGGAGCGACGGCCTTAACGGCAAGGGGTTCCTTTGAAACCACGGCGTTGAAACCGTTGTGGGCATCGGCGGTGTAGTGAACGGTACGTTTTGTTCCATCGGAATCGATGAGCGAATAGCTGCCTTCTACACTGTCACCGTGACGTACTTCTTGTTGGCTTTTTGAGTCACCAGTATGGGGGTCGTTGACGGCGTAACCGAATTCATAGTTAGCTGGTGCGACAGGTTCCGCAACGATAGTTTTTGCAATAGGGGCGGCGTATGCGATGGGTGCGGCAACTTTGGCGATCGCAGGAGCAGCGTAGGCTACTGGGGCAGCGACTTTAGCGATTGCTGGGGCGGCGTACGAGTAAGCTGCAGGGGCGGCATACGAGTAAGCTGCAGGGGCAGCATACGAGTAAGCTGCGGGTGCGGCTACTTTGGTGATTGCTGGAGCTGCGTAGCTGACGGCGGGAGCGGCGTAGCTGACGGCAGGAGCGGCGTAACTCACGGCAGGAGTAGCGGCATAAGAAACAGCGGGAGCGTGAGCGTAAGAAAGCGCAGGAGCGGCAATTTTAGCTACTGCTGGTGCATAACTGTAAGCTACTGCTGGTGCAGCTGCGTATCCATGAGCGGCATAGCCAAGGGGAGCTCCAGCTTGAGCAATGGACACCAAAGTGGCGACAATTAAAAACTGAAACAAAGGTATATGTTTAGTACAAGCCTAAAATAATCCTTTTAGTTGGCTATTTAAGTAATCCTCCCTTCGCACTACTCACTTTAAGTGACATGTTGGTTGTATGTACAAGTAAGAATGAACTTGTGTGATCTTTGTTGTAGCCGTACAGTTTATATAGTTCTTTGCAAGGTGGGGCCGTCACCCCAAGATCAATTTGGTCACTTTCACCATCGGCGTACAATACCTCCACCTTTTAAGTTATTAAATTAGTATGTATCACGAAACTGTTACACATTATGATCTAAAGCATAATTAAACTTAAATTGTCACACACTGACGGCGTGTGTCTACTTTATTATATCATTTATCATTGCCAATTCGTTTCTATGCACAAAAAATCTGGAGCAATATTTGCAAGCATTAATTTTTTAACATTCAGATTACACGTTTGCGATCGTTTATAACGTAGGACGCAATGTCAGACTTAAAAGGGATTATGTATGCGATACAATTGGGTACGCCCAATGTGAATTTTGTTAGGAGACCTATTGCGAAATTTCCATCCATGTATTTGCGGCGACAATAAATTACAATGACTGCTACTTCCCCACGAATGAACTACTAAAGTCGCCATTCACAAGAACTTCAAGGATATCCTAACGAACCAGGAAAAAAGTCTAGCCGGATAAAGACAATGATACTCCTTAATAGCTCACGTTGGTGTTTATGCAATATTATTTACCAAGCTTGGCAAAAATATACATTTGGTACAAGTGAAAAATAATTTTTGTACTCCGTTGGCTAAATCAACCTATTTTGTTTTTCATTAACCGTCAAAAGTGTCACTTTTTCTCCCGGAGATGAGGGACGAAAAGTGGCCGTAAGCACACAAAGAAGTGTCAAACACAATTTAATCGTTAATGGTTACCTTCAAATGCAAATGCCGATTCTTAGATAATACTTTATTCTCATTATACCTACCATTTTCCATATACATTTTTAGTTTTGGGTCATTTCCTCATAGCTTATTCTGCGGTGGTTAAACAACCATTTGATTTAATTTTTTCCGAAGTATCTTTTCAATCCAAGAAAGCGATACTCCCAAAAGGTCCTATGTTGAAATCTGGCTTTGGTCATGGACGTTTTGTAGTGTATATTGCGTAGGATTGCTAGAGCAACCTAAGCTGCCCCGACTTATGAAATAAAAGCCCAATGACGTCGTGTAATGGCCATTCCACTACGGCACTGTAAAACGGTAGTTCGAATCTGCGGGTTCGAGGATACTTACATGTACATCTTCGAAATTGTTCTAGGATTACTAAAAAGTTCATTATAAAGAAACATTTCAGAGCTTTCTAAAGGTTCTTCCGAAGATTTTAAAAGTTCTTCGAAAATTCCCAAGTCTCCAAGTGCTCAAATGCAATCTTTAAAAATGAATCAGCAATTCGTAATAGAATGCTCAAATGTAAGGTCCGTAAATATTATTCAGACTATTGAAGTCTTTTTAAAAGAATCTTCTAAGGCATTCCTTAAAAATTGTGCACAAACTCGCTTCAGAGATTAATCACACAATTTTTATTGATTCTTCAGGGACATTTTTGAATTCAGTGAACCTTCAAGAACCCTAAAATGTTTTAACTAAAATTTTCAGGAAATTCTTCAGGAATTCATGATACAGGTTTTTTTGAATTCTTAATAGAGTAACCTGATTCACACTAAAAATTCTTCTGAGATTCTGCAAAGATTAAAGAAAATTAGAAATTTTCAATAAACGTTTATTGATTCTTAAAAGGTTTCTTGGAGAACTTATGAATTTTTCACTGATTTTATACTTCAGTCGAGAATTTTTTAGAAATTCTCGAAGAACTGCTTTTCAAGTATAATATTCAAGTATTCTTAGTAGATCTCTAACGTCTCCTTCGCGTATTATTTAATTTTCAAAGGAGTAACGGTTTTATGGCACAAAACTATTGAGAAGGATCTGGATCCTTGCGCCAACTTTTTTCCTTGTACGAATTGTGGGAAACGTGGGAAAATTATTTGAGAAGTGCAAATGGCTACGCCAATAATCCTACATTCTTACGTTAATGTTTCCCTCCCAAAATGTAATTAAGTCAATTCTCCTATATACCATGATAGCTGAGAAAGCAATTAAAGGGATGTTCCCAATGGTATTAACATTTGGGGGCATCTGAATATTTGGAAAAATGTCAGTCGGGGTCTCCTATAATCATGTTTACATGTTACATCCTATACCAGGTGCTACCAACCAACTCTGTATAGCAGTCAGTATAGATATCTTTAAAAAAGATGAAAGTGAGAAAAAGCGTTTAAAAGATACCTACCCGAGATCTTTTAAAAGCATCAAAAGCTAAAAATTGCATGATATGGGGCGTACACGGTACAACCATTGTCAGATTTATTATTCAATGGTACACCGCTTTATCTGAGATGGGCTGCCACAGAGTTAATGTTCATATCTAAAAACTGAGAAATAAATCGGTTGTGTGGACACGTCATGTAATATATGCTTTTGTTTATAATCGAAGTTTTCTATTATTTACTGATCTATATATCTTTATTGGATAAATGGCGGAACTGTTATATTACTTAATTGTTTCCCTTCTCACTCCAAGATGGCAAGAATAGCTTAAATTTCTCTCAAACGATTATTACAAGAAAATATGACGAATGTAATATTATATAAAATTAATGAGCTAAACTGGAAATGTATGATAAGGCATGTACAGGACAAAATGTTTCAAAATTTTGACTAATGCGTTTTTAATGTTTTTCACCTTTCGAATTAATTTACATTACAGGTCAGCATTGAAGGTAATCTGCATTTACCGATTAAATTGCATAAATCTTGGGAAAAAATTGAGCTATATATGTGATATACTTTAGAACTGCACCCGTGATGCACTAGTATAAGTATTAAAAAACTAAAGCGCTGTACCGAATTTGATCCTATATCCAGCTGATGTGATATCGATTTATCAAGACAGATCTGCCGCACACCAGGGAGGGATTGCTAGTCCGATAGCGATTAGGATCTTTTATATTCACACGCTCCAAAAGTGACATTTGTACCTGAAATGTCAATCTGAAATTAGCATTTTAAGAGGCTAAACATTTCTAATTTATTGCAAGTCGCCGTTACCGGAACTACCGTTAACAACATTTGCCAATGACGACAATTTTACACACTTATCTCACCGTTTTTTCCAATTGCAATCTATTTTCTGTCGTTTAGAGACTGCATAAATTAAAATAGTTGAACGTCCAATTTCGAAACATCATTTATATTATCAATACCATGATCTATTACTAATATTAAGCAAAAACTATTTGCAAGAGTAAAATTCCCTCACTTGCGTTTAGTAGTATAAGTAAGGAAGTAAGTGAAAGTGTCCGAGCAAATATAATTCACGAAATAAAGAAGATTAATATGTTGGAGTCTATTTTGATCAGAGAGATATTTTGAACATAAATCTTGCTGGGAAATTACTAATTATTTTTGGCACGATTGCGCTCAATTAAGAGTGATTTAATTTGAACACTTCTGTCTGGGGCTTTCCTGTACTAACATGATACTTTAAATTTTTAAATTGGAATTCACTAGTTTTTAATACAAATAAATGGAACTAATGTAATAAATAGATAAATAATAAATGTCTTCCATGAGGAACGTAGTTGGAAGGCATCCCCATTACACAGGTCGCGTTACCACGTCGTATGGCAATATTTATTCTTTGACCTTGACATTTTTATAGCTTTAAAAATTTGACTTTAGTTATTTATGCGAAAGAATTGAAAAATTCAAATCGCACCCGCTACACTACCCCTCCCTTATTCGGATTGTTGTATTTTTCCTCTCTGTCCTTTCCAATGATTCTCATGGTGTTACTGATTTTTGTTTTAAAGACGTCTTTCATGTGTTCCGTAGTCCATTATTTCACACGTTTTGCCTACAAATTTCTCAGTAGGTGAAGTATAAAAAATGTATTATTGTAGGTATTATTGTTCAGCAATATTCCTGTTTTGTCGATCTAAATGTACAAAATTGCAATAAAACCGCAGTAAAACTTATCTACTTCAGGTGCAGGAACTCAAAAATGGCAACATATGGATTTATTACAGTTAGGTACAGTAATTTTCACTAAATACCTGTAGAATTCCGTAAAGTACCTATACTTGTATGTATATAATATGTAAAGTGTAACCAACCCTCGTGATATGAAATGACAAGTGATCCCACTTCTAGTTAACGCCGTAATAAGAAAATATGAACGCAACAAGTTGAAAGAAATTAATTTTCCAGAGCGTACAGGACGCTTTTAGCTGAAAGGGATCGCTTAAATAGTGGGAGCAAATAAAGCAAATAATGTGTTCTGATAAAAATAATAAATTATTCAGTAAATATTAAAGGAATTGTATGAAATAATAAAAAAAGCTTATGCAATTAAATTATAAATAGCCGAACAATGGAATCTCTATACGTCGATTCAGTCGCTCGAAAACATAAATCTGAATCTGAATAACGAGGAAAATTTCAATAACCACTACGTGCCGTTGGCAGAAAACTTTTAAAAATGATTGCAGAAGACCGCCAGTTTTATAAATCTCGCCAGTATATAATAGTGTCCGTGATGTCCGGCTGCATTTTTTAAAACCACCAGTCAATGTCCGCGCCAGATCGTGATTTGTATAACTGCGAGCAACCCTTACATTTGCTGACCATTGGAAGTTCTAAGCTTTTATATAACTGTAGGTCATATATAAAATTTCCTTTTTATCCTTTTTAAAACGGTGTCAATAAAAACTGTACGTTTTTAGCGTGCTTTCAATTAGCATCGAGAGAGCGCAAGAAAAGTTACCTAATGGAGTTAGAAACTGATGAGCTTAATTAAATTGTCACCCTACTTTTTTCTGTTTTAAGGAAAAATGCTGTTCTAACGCTACAACTAGGATATGCAAAGCGGTCCATTTGTTATGGAAACTAATCCTTCTGTCAGAACATCTCAAGCACCATCTTAAGCGGATTACTGGTTCTTCAAACCGAAGGAGGGGGGGGGGGGATCATTTCGTACCTCAATGCAATACCTGCTTTACTAACGTGCGGGTGGAAGGATGATTGGTATTGAGAACACCGGTCCGTGTGGTGTAGTTGAGTTAAAGCTCGGCTGCGGTACTAAGGGTCCCTGGTTCAAATCGGCTTGTGGCAGCCTTGATAAATATTAAATAACATGAAATAAGATAAATAAAATAATTAATAAATAAATAAAAATAAAATACACCACGGATATAAATGGAACATGTAAAGGTAATAGAATATATTATGAAGATGGAAATGGAAGAATATCTGGGTTTAAAACTGTTCTTGGGCCAATTCAAAATTTCACCGAATATAAATGACATGAAGAGGATTTTAAAAAGTATTTTTTTTAAACGAAATAACCTAGCTAGTAGTTATAGTTTAATAAGGTAGTGGCATGCTGATTAAAGGGGAGGGAGGAAGGCTTCTTATACATAAATATGTAACGGCCGTCTGGCACACATTCGAAATGCACGCTATATAATGCAAGAAGAATCAAACCCTTACAGAAATTCTCCGCAATATTGCATTTTTCCTTATAGGCACCTTTTTACGACACTATTTTTGAGATATTCGAACTTACTATTCATATCGCCAATAAATATGTCTCGTCACTTTATGAGTACTCTCTTCCGCCACTTCGTTTAAGAGAATTTATTTCGACTACAGTAATCTGATCCAGACCATTTTGCCTTTGTGAGTACTCTCCTCCAACAGACCGTTTTCAAGCTCGCTCTTAAAGTTTTGATATCAGCAATGCATATATTCGTTCAGAAGTTCCACTCACCTTTCATAAGTAACCTCCTCCGATACTCCGCTCTGGAGATATAGTGTGCATAAACCAATTACCTTTCGACCAGACCTTATCCTCTTAGTTGTCGTACTGATTCTTTAACTTTACAGATTTCGTCAAAGATGAGCGAGTGCCCCACCATTGATGATCCTTCCTCACCATTGAGTCTCCTTTTTTTTGAGACAGCTTGTCTCATAGGCACATTTGATGGTCATGCGAAGTTTTGATTCTATGAACTCCAGTTCCGCCGAGTGTCCTGCAAGAGAGAAGAGTTCTTAGTTGGTTCTCCTCGAATTTCTATATACGGGTACAGCCTTTTGATCCAATGATAAAACAAATATACAGTGTGTCCCAGATCGGGTGGGATTGCATGGGTAACTTTCTTATTATTAAAGATAGAGAATTGGTTAAATGGACAATGTTTTGCAGCTTTAGATGCTTATTTAAAATTTCCTTGTGGAAATTCAAAATGTCGAATAGGTTCGACGTAAATTCAAAAAAACTAAAATTGGTCATTTCCTTTAATGTCTTATATCATCGAAAGTATAAGAGAATAAAAAAAAAGTTTTATATAAAAGTTACTGCCTCTGATACGCCTAATTTAGAATTGATGTCAAAATAAAATTGAAGATGGTTACCTTTGAGGAACATTTACCAACTTCCTAAAGTTAAATAGGCGCCATATTGGATTTTTAGATTATTTGATTTTTTAATTCTCTTTTCAACGAGCTATCATAGCATAGGATTGAAAATAAAATACCCGTTATATCAACGGTTTTTATATTTTAATCAAGTAGGCTATGATGAATTAAAAAAAAACAAACCAAAATCTATTCGAGGCAACAAAACGATGAAAGTAATTACATTAGATGTTTAAAATATCAGTGGCGCACTCATGGGAGGGGGGTTTCGGCGTTACAACTCCCTCCAAAATTTTATGTAAGGAGGCGTACACAAATTTTGACTTTTATGGCGTTACTTATTGACTGTCATATTATCCATACTTACATACCTATAAATTGCTGGTATAACTACAAACTATCTCCTCTAAAAAATGCCATGCCAATATCCAGTTAAACACATTTCAAGACACTTCGATTTACTTTACACAATGTATTACCATTGATGCATTGTCCCAGGTCACATTTTGTAGGTGGTTTATCCTTAAGAATATCTACCTGCAGTATTACCAGTCCGAGTATATGGACAAATGAGTCTTATTTTTCTAACTGCGGAGTGTTCAAATCGACATAATGAACAGTACTCGTCACAGGGAAACCCACATGTTGTCGTTTGACGCCGAAATCAAGCAAGGTTTTAAATTAATGTACCTACTTTATGACATAATGGGAAGTCATGTAATTGGACCGGTAATCTTCGATGGAACTTTAACTGCAAATTCTCCAATAAACTTCCTTAAAGGATTTTCTAGACAACGTATGTTTCGCAGAAAGGGTTGGTTTATGGTACCTCTACCAACAATTAAGCTGGCTGCCCAGGTCACAATTCACGAATTGTGAACATTGTACATTAAAGAATAAAGTACATGGAAGTAACTACTACTACTAATAGGCAATAATACCACAACTGCGCGAAGCCGTTCTAAAGGCATGTTATAGTATCAGTGGCAACATGTTGCCTAAAGTAAACTGTCTTGAAGTGTGTTTCACTAATAATGGCTAGTGTTTTAAACATGTGATGTAATTATTTTCATTGTTGTGTTGCCTCGAATAGATTTTGTTTTGTTTTTTTAAAATTCATCATAGCTTACTTGATTAAAATATAAAAACCGTTGATATAACTGGTATCTTATTTTCAATTTTATGCTATGATAGCTCGTTGAAAAGAGAATTAAAAAATCTATCAAATAATCTAAAAATCTAATATGACGCCTATTTAACTTTAGGAAGTTGGTAAATGTTCTTCAAAGGTAGCCATCTTGAATTTTATTTTGACATCAATTCTAAATTAGGCGTATCAGAGGCAGTAACTTTTATGTAAAACTTTTTTTTATATCTCTTATACTTTCGATGATATAAGACATTAAAGGAAATGACCAATTTTAGTTTTTTTGAATTTACGTCCAACCTATTCGACATTTTGAATTTCCACAAGGAAATTTTAAATAAGCGTCTAAAACTGCAAAACATTGTCCATTTAACCAATTTTCTATCTTTAATAATAAGAAAGTTACCCATGCAATCCCACCCGATCTGGGACACACTGTATATCTATGGTCTGATAAGAAGGGTTCTTCTGCCACATGCCATTCGTGTCATCTAGAGAGAGACTCACCTCTTCTGTTGATGCTTGGTGGTGGATAAGGTCGCGGTATGCGGATACGAGCACAAGCCCCATCTCGCCCCCATCCCTTTTCGCTGTCAGCGATACTGCTACCAGGTCTCTGTAGTAGAATTCCCATAGTGGTAGTAACTTAACGCTATTCGTAGCTAAAATGCACGATCTGGGATTGGTTTCTATTGGTTCAGTAATGATCCGCGTCCCTTTCAGTCCCAGACCTCGTATTAGCCCTTTGTAGGTTAAAGTTTTTGTACCAGGACGACATCAATATTATGCATCCCTCTCAGCACTAGGTACGTGGTAACTAGTATAAGGTGGTTAAGATGGGGGAAGTCCTAGACCAGTAGGCGTTAAGGTGGTAACTGGTAAGCCAAAATGTAAAGACCGTTATTTAATGAATTTTATATATTTCGGTTGGCATTGCAACCTTCATCAGAAACTAAAAATGTTAATGTGATTTTTCGATACTACGGACTACAAGAACTTACAATTTATTATATTGGTCCGAAACTGGTGATCTAACTAAAAGTCTAATTAATGTTGTGATCACCACTCCCATTTTCATTTTTCTGGCCTAAGAAAAACCTATATCTGTCAGATATTCAGAATGTTGTGTTGAAAAACCGCCGAAGTTGATGGAGATAACCATTTCCACAGAGCGGGATTACTTAATAGAACTTTCGAGGATGAAAAAGATACCCGCACGATGGGTGTTGCGACACCAAACTGGGTGCAACAGCTGAGCGCATGGTGTATAATAAAGACCATTGTTATTCCGAATATCTTGTATCGTCAATATTATTTGAATCTTCCACTTTTTTAACTTTACCAGCATTTTTTTGAATTTGCATAATGGGCGAAGACAACTTTAGCATTACAAAGTTTTCCGAACGAGTTGCGACTTATTAATTAGGATCGTTTCAGGATTTAGTTCCAAAATAATGCCATTTTAGAATTTATCCTCTCAATGTATACCACCCAGACCCAAAAACAGAAGCGATGGACATAACCAACTTGACGTTTTGTGTTGAGCTGGGACGTTCTCATTTTCTGATCGACAATAGCCATAACATAACAAAACTTGAATAGAACGAAATGGAAATAACTTCTTAACAAGGTGTTTCATTTTCATGGCATTAATAATTACCAAAGTGTTCACGTTTGTAAAATTGTATTTGGCGAAAACAGCCTTAAATAAATATACAAAAATTTATACACAAATAACTAAAAAACAAAGGTACTTTTAATAATAGCCGTGAGCGGCAAGTTTGGCAATTGGGGCACCGTATCCGTAACCGATGGCGGGGGCGGCCGCGTAGGAAATTGCAGGCGCGGCAGCGTATTTGGCGATGGCTGGGGCGGCGTAACTAATGGCAGGCGCCGCGGCGAATTTGGCGTAGGCTGGTGCGGCAGCGTAACTTAAGGCAGGCGCTGCGTAAGCGTGAGCTGGTGCGGCGTATGCGTGGGCTGGTGCGGCGTATGCGTGGGCTGGTGCGGCGTACGCGTATGCGGGTGCTGCAATTTTCGCTACGGCGGGTGCTACGGCAACGGCGGGCGCTACGGCCTTAACTGCGATGGGTTCCTTTGTAACGATTGCGTTGAAGCCGTTGTGGTCATCGGCTGTGTACTGAACGGTACGTTTGGTGCCATCAGATTCGATGAGGGAATAGCTGCCTTGGACGGCGTCACCGTGACGGACTTCTTGTTGGCTTTTTGAGTCTCCGGTGTGGGGGTCGTTGACGGCGTATCCAAATTCGTAGTTTGGTGGAGCGACCGGTTCGGCAACGATGGTTTTGGCGATGGGGGCGGCGTAAGCAATTGGAGCGGCAACTTTGGCAATAGCAGGTGCGGCGTATGCGTAAGCTGGGGCGGCTACTTTAGCGATGGCTGGAGCGTAGCTGATTGCTGGAGCGGCAGCGGCGTAGGATACAGCTGGAGCGTGTGCATAGGACACGGCTGGGGCGGCGGCGTAAGACAAAGCTGGTGCTGCGTATGAAACAGGCGCCGCAATTTTTGCATATGCGGGAGCGGCGTATCCGTATGGAAGCGCGTGAGCGGCGTATGCAGCTGGGGCTGCTGCGTATCCATAGGGTGCTCCAGCACGAGCGATGGTTGCCAAAGCGGCAATGATTACTAACTGAAACCGAAAAACTAAATATTAGAAATATATTCCTTTTGCACGTCGTGCTATAATTAAAATTAAATCCATACAAATCGTACGCACTTATCACTTAACAATTTTACTCACTTTAATTGCCATGTTGCGTTTTGTACAACGGCCTATGATTTGTGTGAGCTTTACTGGGGCTACAATGTTTATATAGTACTTGCGAAGGTGTGGCCCTCAACCCGGGCTCAGTTTGGAAACTTTCACCGCATCGGTATAGTATACCATTTTATTTAAGTTGGTGTTAAATCTCCCATTTGCTACTACTACTTTATGCCGTAATATTAAATAATCAACGATTGTAAGCGTGGTCGTACTCTTTTGGCATTGCATTTTTTATATAAAAAGAATCCTTGAGATGATAAAATTCGTTTCATTTTCATTAATTACTAGAAATCGTCGTAATTTATATTATACGCAGATTTAATTGACGCGATCGTTGAGTAATTTCTTTCTGCTAAATCTTCTGCCCACAACGCAACAAATTTTAAAACGTCGCTAGGCATCTTTGCTATTTCTCAAATTATTAAAAGCCAAGTCGTTTTGACAACAAAACTGTGTTAGGCATAAAATGTAAGTTATGCATTAAAATCGTACTTGCTGATTGCAATCTGCTCTCAGAACTCTCCAAAAAATTATTTACTATTATCTTTGTTTATTCATCAATAAGCATTATGTTGCAATTATAGGATATGCGCTAAGTTCTCCTACATAAGGAAAACGTCGTAAAGTAAACTAATTTTTTTAACGTAAGTAGGTACTCCAGTTGATGGAAAATCAGAAACTACATTATTTGTCTTTTAATCTTGTAATCTCTTACTTTTTGATCTGTTAGGTAACACAAGATCTTCCCGAAAAGGCATGGTTTCATTATATGCAGAAATAAATAATTTTTTTTATATAATTCAGTCTAATTACACCTAATTATGACTAAGAAATGACTTGTTGTAATGAGATGTGAATGTAACCTTCGATTACTGGACTACCGGAGCCGGAGATTTCCAAACGTTACTTCCTGAACCCACATGAATGCGCCATTATAGGTAATCGTATCAATAGTAAAGGAGGATTTTGCAACAGAAATACCATGCTAATGTTATCGTTAGAAAAATACGGCTCACATCTAGACACCTTTACCTGGTATTAATATGGAACATAAAGCAACCGCACAAGACTTCGTATTGTTTCAGACGGGAATTACACAACCTGTATTATTGGACCGTTAAAAATCGAAATTGAAACAACTTTAGTTTAAAAGGTTAAGGGTGATACAATTAACCTTTAAAAACAGGTGACACTTTATGCAATCAAATTAAAATGAGGCAAAGTAATGTTGAGGATTTCGACTGCGCTGGCATTACATTGCACTAATCGCGAAACGGTCGTCGATTGTAATTTGTAATTGCAAAAACATTGTCATTTAGATAGAGCTAGAGGGAAGTTTAATGGAAGATTCAGCTTGGTTTCAGCGTTCGTCCCTGCACTCCCAGCTATTTCAAAATATCTCATGAGTTAATTTAAAAAAAAGCCAAGACAAGTAGAAAATATCGGAATTTGTCACATATCGAGTGTTGATTGTTTGTTTATCTTGAACTCTACCATCAAATTTGTGTTTAAGTCGTTCCAAAAATCCTTCTTTTTAGTGCACTTTCACTTATAAAAAATAAAAAGTGCACTTTTGCGCTCTTGATGTCTGTCTGATGTCTGTCTGAGTCGCAAAGGCTCCGGAACTTACAGACTTGGTATTGGTGTCATTCGATCAGAAATTAAAAATTATTTCATGTTTGTATTCTCGTTCAGCCATTAAATGTACATAAGGGTTATTAAAATCGAAAAAAAATTTGAAAGTGCTCTCTTCGCCTCTTGCTCACAATATTACTTTGTTATTTATTTGTTATTTGTTGTTCCGCGTTTGCCATTTTGCTTTTGCTGTTGGAGTTAGTTGCATCGTTTATTTGAAACTTAAGAAATAATTTAAAAATATATTTTTTCATGCACTGGGGGAGAAGATTACGATATTATGCGAATTAATGTCTAATTCCAATGCAATTGTGGATTTTTGTCAAAATTATAGTTTGTTTTGAAATGAAATGTATTGCAGGAATAGAATTATGGGATTTTTGACTTTTTGTTTTAATTAGGATTGATCTTGTAATGTGAAAATGTCAGAAACATCTCTGGAATGGTTTAATGTGTATAAACAATAGTCTACTATGTATCAAAGAAAAATTAGGCGGGTGGGGCGCCCCCTCCAAGAAGAAGAAAAAAGTGATTTACCAAGCAAGGAGATGCAGGGAAAGGCACTTCGTCGCACTATGTAGGTTCACAAAAAGATAGATAGAGGAACCTTATACTGCGTTTTAAGGTTGGTATTGGCTCCTACTGATCTGGTGCCAAACAGTAATCGTAGTGTAGTGGCGGGAAGACCAAATAAAAATTCTGAATTTGAAAGATTGTTTACATACAAATAGTCCGTCTAAATTCTAAAACCACTAAATTTTTTACTTTTTGAGGTATTGTTGTCAAAAGAGGCACCTCCCCTCTTGGGGGCATAGTATTAGTAGACCCCCTGTTGCCGATCTTCCGCGTCCACCCACGTAATTCTATTAACCCGTCACTGTCCTGAATTTGTTATAACTTTATTATGAGTAGGATTTTGGTATTAACCCTTACCTACAACGAGCGAACTATAAACGGTGGATAAGAAAATAATTTCTACACTTTCACGTAGGAATCAACGATAATTTGACACTACTGCAAAGCTCCAACGCACCGACTATTTTACATTAACCTATTTTTAGGCCAATAGCTACCAAGCTTGTTTGCTTCCTTGCCGAGCGTGATGAGGCTTTGGAGTGTCCTAAAAGGCTTCAAGTAATAATCACAGTCTCAAGCAAGAATTTGACACCAAACCAACACATAAAATAAAAGAAACTAGTCATTTTTTTTACAATTGTTCTATTTAATAAGTATGGGGAAAGTTTTGTATCTTTTACCCCATTTTGAGTTACATCACTCGAAAACTCAAAAAGAATTCTAATTGCAATTCATGGTCGGATTATGTATTTAAAAAAAACTATTAAAAATATTCGAACATATGCAATGACCATTTTTTTTAAAAGTAACGTGTCTCTCACAGTTCATTGAAAGTATTTTTATAAGAGCTGAATACTTACAAATTAAAAGATTTTTTAGTTGTAGTCGTTGAAAGTATTGCAGTTCAAGTACTTGTCTTTCAATATACTATTTTTTGCGGAAATGAATTTACCGAGGGAACCTGGTAAAATACAAATAGTACACAAAAAATCGGTTGCATATTGAGTTTTTACAAAGTAATTCCATCAAATTATCCAAGGCTAAAACCTCAACACGGTCATGTCGTTAGTAGGTTAGTTAGGTTAGTAATAAGTAAATTGGAAATTCTTATAATTCCGACATCTTGTAAATTTTAGTCACTCTTGGAGGTCACTTTTTTCAGGAAGATACCTAAATAAAAATTAATGCAAGGTTGTTCTTGATCGCTTACCAATTAAGCGGTGATTTATATTTGCCTACTCATGCATGCTACCCATATGCTTAATTTATCAATTTTTCAATAAAATATAGGTAACCCTGCACTTACTTGTTTGCATTTAAACACCATATGCGACTATAGCGTTACGCAGTCGATTTGATCAGCTTACACGCAGATATTGATATCGTGTGTTGAAAATTCCCATAATGTAAAGATATGGTGTTGACACATTGCATGCGGTTTTTTCAAGAATCGATATACCTTTAATGTATTGCACTGACCCAATAAAAATATACGCAATTATGAGTTAAACATTATAAGAATTAGTACACAACTCGTGTTAATTACAAAGAAAGAGTATGCATTAATTCAAATTTGGACACCCATTTCCCGCTCTTATCGAATATTCATTTAAATAATTTTGCCGGGAAACATTAATTTATTTTTTAACAAAGCACCCACGCAAGTCTACAAAGAAACAATAGCAAGTCGTGATCCATGCGGCTATTTTTTCCAACTTTTTGACCTCCAATTTTATATCGGTGGATATTAGGTAAGCACAGCTTTAGGTATACTAAAGACATTCCGACGTTTGTACAACTACTTACATTTCCTATGTGATCTTTAACTCTCCGAAGGTTTAATTTTAATGACCTCATTAACTCGATTGAGAAATGTGCATATAAAATGCCTTATTTAAAAAGGTGAATTTTAATTAACACAATTTTGAGTGTTTTATTATTGCACTTTGTAACGCGCCCGCTTGCTTTTAAGGGCGCAAGGTTGCAGCATCTTCGCGCGCCTTAATTCTTTTACTCGTAGGCGTAAAGGTTTTTAATTATTAGGTCATTAATTTAGTTCTCGGTAAGTAATAAAGATTATGAATCACAACAAATAATGTAGACCAATTGCATCATTTTGCATGGATAAATATAGTTATACAAAGTAAGAAATAACGTCGCTCACCAGGCATTAACAGTAATTCTTAACAGTTTCCTTGTATAAAGTAAGCGAATTGATCTGATGAAATCCTGCAGTGGTAGCAATAATTCCGTAAAAGAATATAATTTGTTATAAAAAATGTATCTTTAGAAATTTAACGACAGACCTGCTTTTACATGGGCGTGTATGTACAAAAACAAATTCTGAAATTGCAATTTATGTTTCTGCAGTTATCGAATGTACCTTAGCCTTACGGTCATTAATAGAACACTTACATAATCAATTGTTTCTATATGTAACTTTTCTTTACCTGCATTGTTTAGAGCGTTATAATTTTCACATTCTCTTAACTTTTATTGAATTTTACACGGTGCATTTAATACTAACAACAATTACCAAGGACTATGAAACAAAAATGTGTAAATTACAACGTCAGACTAAAAAAAGCATTACTTTCCCGTATACGGATGCGGATTTACGATAGCACTTGCCTTCGTATTCATTTTGCCACCGACTCATACACACTTTTTTATACATTAATCATGGAGTCAATAATCAATATAGCACCCAATCGCACCCTACAAATAAGTTATCGCACCCATTTCGTGTGCTTCCTATAACTCGCATGCTAAAAATTCACTTCTGGATAATTCGCATCGGAATCATTTATAATTCGCAACCCAAAAGTTTGCTCCCGTATAATTCGCTCCTGAGTAATTCAATTTAAAAGAGTAATTGGTATTGCTTTGTTTTTTTTAATGTATCATTTTGCATAATATGCGTTATGATGAGATCTAAATAAGATTTGTAGAAGTATTCCTCTCAAAAACCTGAACCCTTGAGTGCCATGTGGCTACTTCTTTTAATGAAAATTCATTGAAAGTTCTAATGCAATAAGAAGTCTAAAGAATACGATCGCCATAGTTGCAAATTTATGACTTAATTTGTCGGAACTATTTTTAAGATCCGTCATCTCGTTATTGATTAATTTTTACGTAACGTAAATAAAAAATTGCGAAACTTGAAACTGAAGTAAAACCGGCTTAAAGCTGGCAATTTCTTGGTTTGATGATCACATTTATAACGTCGATCCAAAAGTGAGCCCATAATAATTATTTACACTTGTTAAAATTATAGCTAATTAAAATAATATCATTAATTGCGTTGACTACTCCTTACTGCCTTTACATAACACTTCGTGACATAAGAACGAAGGCATCAGTTTGATAAATAAGCGTTGTTATTTTATTGTATTTACATGATAACATTTCATTAGCCGTAATTAAGTTTTGATTAAATTTAGATGGTAGCCTAGCCCACAATATTATTCTTAAAAGGCGTACCTACAAGAATAATTAGTTCGTATTCATTATGGGCCGGCTATACAATTCGTCTACTAACTAATTTATTAATTTGGAACACGGTATTTGTAGCAAATTTGCATGAATGAGTTCTATGACTAATAGCTGATCAGATGAAAGCGTTCAGGAGCGCCTCGAGCTGTCGTCCTGGCAAAACACTATAGTCATGCTCAACATTTATGGCCACATAATAGGCGGTAACATTACCGGACGTATAATAAATTCCAATTTTGATTACATTGCCCAATATGCTGATTATGTGACAATCGATATTACAATTTTTTACTTAAGAATGTAGCTAACCTTATAAGAAATGGTTAAATCATTTTATGGCTTCATGTTGACTGGAGCTGTAAACTTGTTATTTATTTAAACTATAACTGACACAAATTAATTGGGCAATTAACAAGATGGTCTAGATGTTTTAGATTACATGTTGCGCTCGTTGGTATTGTTGCAATTTTAAGGAATTTCTAGCTTTCATAAGTTTGTTCTACGACAAACTATATAAGTCTTCGAGACAGTTTTCATTATAATGCACGTAATCCTTGACGTGCTATCTTTTTCAAGCTGAAGGAGCCCCATTATTATCAATGCTTAGCTTTGATTTAGCGTTGCTCTACTAGAGAAAAGCCACTTATTCACGTATAAGATGCCTCCCTCCACATTGTCTGCTACAGTTGGTGACTTTTCCCTTTGTTAAATAAAAGCTAAAGACATGGATTAGTATGGTGTACAAACACCACAAAGATCCATTTCAGGAGTAAGTGTGTCAGACGATGATCATACCCAGTAGTTCGTTGTGACGTTACTACCCAGTAATTTTGTTTATATAGATTGCCTACAAGAATTTGCAACACATGGAAATTTAAGTTAATAACATTTATAAAATTTCGACATTTTACGAGAATTTTATTTACCAGATATTAATGGGACCTCATCATAAAGTATGATTTCATGTAGATTGCATCTGGTCGAAATTTTTTTTGCACTACGCCTCAAAAACTAACAATCTTCAGCTGAAATATCAAAATGATTTGTGGCAGTCTTTAGCTAACTTTAAATTCACACTAATCATTGTGGCTGGCAAAAGGTGTTGGATGACGTAAGAAGATATGATCAGCAACTTGTTAGAAAGTAACAAAGATATGTAATTATAGACTTACATTAATTACGTATTTAGCCAATATTTATTTAGTACAGTATTTCACGGGATTTTAATCTACAGGTATTTTTGCATAAAAAACCTGCAACACAAATCGTAATTATGGATGCAGTACCCTAAAATCATGTTAACTTTACTGCAAAAACGCGTTTACTAATGTTTTGTTGTGTTTTTTTAAAGTTTTGGTTTCATACTTTTTTGGACGGATGAGGATGAAGTTCGTCTCTTGTTATGTTCAGTAGGTTTTTTTTTAGTGGATAATCAAAGAGGAATATCTTTTACCCTTCCCTTTTACCATGGTACCTTCTTGCTATTTTCTAATAGGATTCGCCCATTCTTCTCCTTTTGAAAATACACTGCGCAAATAAGACAGATTGCAATTTTATTTAATTAGAACCCCATCGCCCCAACCCCGCATTTTTTTCCTTTACCAATAAATTGTACTCAATGCAATCAAAGCAGTTTGTAATTACGTCACTATTCATTGAATTATTTAATTATCAATTATTCCAATATTAAATTTTATTTAATTTTGTATATAGTATGTTGGTATTGCTGCTGGGGAGCATTTTCTCACTCTTCTCATTTTCTATTATGAAGGCAACCTCAACACAGCGAATGCTAACGAGGTGTATTCAATAAAATGAGTGTTTATTGTCTGTACCTTTTGTTGTGTAATTTTCTTGTATACAGTAATAAATTATTTCATTTCAGTTTTCTAAAGTGAACAGTTTTCGTAGAAAGTGGAATGAAGCGAAAATTTCGGCAGCAATTGCAAGGTTTTTTTTATTTCCCGCAAGCTCTGATTTAACAGAAGCTTAAAAAGCAGACTGGTTTTGTTAGTCCCAAGTAAAGTACATACGCCGTCATAGGAAAGCCCCGAATTTCGGTTTTGGTAACGAACGTTACAAGTATAACGTGACCTTGAAAGATTTATAAAATTCTGAACAGTTTATATAGTCTAGTGGAGAAACAGGGACTTTGGGTAACTCCCAAATGATACATTTTGTTCGCTGGGTTTATTAAAAAATTGTTGCTTGTTTCCGTGTACCATCAATTTTTTCCACATTTTCCTAAGGGAAGTTTGTATTCTCTAAAGAAAAATAATTTGTTTATTATAATTTATTTTTTTTAATTCAAAATTGTGCCTTTTTAAAATGGAATATCCTGTACATTTCTCAAATAATACCTACCAACAAAGTTTCTACTTTAATGAAGGCAGTAAGGGAGAATCGTAAGCTCTAAAATTAAAACCTTTGCAGCAAATGCTCCAAATGCTCGTCGTCATTTACAGTATGGCTACTTGTGGAGTTGCACGCATCTCTTCCATTACGCAATGTCGGCTGTAGGACAATTCGCGCCCGGAAAATTCGCAACCGGACAATTCGCTCCCAGAACAACGCGCTTCCGGAAAATTCGCTCCCAGTACATATTGCTCCCAGAAAAAATACATGTTGAGATCAAATGGTTTGTGAAAT